GCATGTTTATTTTAGATCTGTGTGGCAGCAGCAATATACAGTAAATAAATCAATAAATCCACTGCTCTCGTCTCCTCTGAGGCTGGGACTCTTAAGTGTTCTGTGCTCGTCTGTGCAGCCAAAGACAGAACAGTTAGCATGTTTTGCTCAAACTTTGCCATGGCATTAAAACTGCTACACCGTTCTCGCTTGCGAAAACACAATACCGGCGCCGTGGGTGTAAACTTACAGATTAAGGCGTGGTAATATTATAATGAAATCCCTTTGCCACGTCAACAAGGGAGCGAAATCAGACGCGCTCGTTTTCTCAGACGCTTGCAGAAAAAGGCTTCCCAAAACAAAGTTACTGGGTTAATCTTTTTCACATTTCCTTGTTTGGTAGATGATCCAGGGACCTGATCATAGCACTTAAAACCTGGAAAAGTCAGTTAAAGATGGCATATTTGTTCAGTGATAACTATGAAAAAACCATAGACAACGGTCTTCTCAAGTAACTGACACAAATATGAATAATTTTGTGATTGTTACAGATACAGATACAGATACAAATACTGGCTCCACTGCACTCCCCTAGTTATCATACCGTGTACATTTGCTTATTTACGGTCGATCCTTGCTACATGCTCTAATAGATTTACAAAGAAAACACTGAAACATTTGCATTAAATTACCAACTCTGTATGTATAGCTTGTCTAACATAGTAAGCTTGCACAGTAGCTCACCTGGTACAGTGTTGCACTTGCAATGAGGAACTCTCAAGTATGAGTCATTCAACAAAAGAGCTCAAAGCCTAATAGAAGGAAGCTAAAATTACATAGTTGCTTCAGGAAATGCGATTTTATCTCATGTTTGCTTTTTTCTAATAATGGTTAAGCTTAGAATAAGGTTTAGTGTAGGTGGTAGGTTAATTTCAAAAGTGATAGAGTATTATCCTTTTAGGGCCACTCACCAGACATTTCTGAATTGCCATGACACATTCAACAATAAAAACAAACAAAAAAACTCATTCAGTTTTCAGGTTGCAGAAAAGCCAGGACGCAGAGTTGATGGAGGGAGGAGCCAAGGTGGAGACTTGCCAGGCATAACCAGGGAGACAACGGACTGGGATGGAGCCAATGGAGGAGGAGACCCAGGCGAAATTGAGGAGACGGTGACCCAGGGTGGGTGGAGGCCTGGAGGGCCGACTCGCAGGACTGAGGTGGAGACAGAGACTCGGCAGACTGGGGTAGAGCTGGTGGAACTGAGGACCAAGGTTGAGCTGGTGGGAAGCAGTAACCTGACGAAGCCAGAGGAATGGAGGTATGAGGCATAGCCAGAGGCCTAGAAGACAATGGTCAATGACTGACCAAGGCAGAGCCGGAGGGATGAGGGAACTCGGTGAAGTCCGAGGACTGGCGGGGATGGGAGACACTGGGATTCTGTTGTGTGTGAAATTCTGTTGTGCTTAGGCTCCGGGATGAAGATGGGCTCAGGCATTGACTTCCTGGCAAGCTCTGGATCTGTGGTGGGCTCTGGCTTGAAGTTCGCTAGGAGTGTGGCTGAATAGGTGGTGTGCGTTATGGGCACTGTCATCATCATAATGGATTAGATCAGGGGTGCCAAACTCAATTCCTGGAGGGCCGGAGCCCTGCAGAGTTTTGTTCCAACCCTGCTCCAACACACATGCCAGTAGTAGTTTTCAAATAAGCCTGAAGGACTTGATTAGTTTGATCAGGTATGTTTGTTTAGGGTTAAATCTAAACTCTGCAGGGCTCCAGCCCTCCTGGAATTGAGTTTGACACCCCTGGATTAGATGGTAGAGATCCAAGGAGTACTGTGTGTGCTCCTTGAGGAAGCAAACTCTGGAACGAATGGCATCTACGCTAATATTAGTCTCTTTCATTCTTATTCCGAGGTCACCGTAGCCATACAGATCCATTCTGTATCCAGATCAGATGGTCACTGTAGCCACCCAGATCCACTCCATATCCAGACCAGATGGTGGACCAGCACCTAGAGACGACCTCTACAGTCCTGAATGTGAGCGGAGACCATGTCAACTAGATGAACCCCAGAGACAGATCCCCTGTGAAGACCTCATCACCTCGACGACCTTCAACACAAGACCACGGGAACCAGACAAGTCCTCTGCACCTGTGTTGCAGCCTGGAATTAAATCACGCCATGCTGGTTTCATCTGGTCAGAAGAGAAAGGAAGGATATGGCCCAGAGGAGAGATCTTGAGATGCACGTGATGACATCCTTGATCACGCCCTTTTAACGGAGGTCAATGATCAGCATCCTGACTGTCCTGCACCCAGGGGCCATGCCCGTCCTCATTGCCGTGTCATGCGTGTGGAGGTGTACTGTCACAGAGTCACCAGCAACACCAGATCCTCCTGCTCCACCCACACAATCACAATCACCCGAATTCTGACGCACTTCACCTGTCTACACTAATCAGTCACAGTATAAAGCCACCTTCCCATCACCACCTCAAAAAAAAAAAAAAAAAACTTTTGTTCTATATTAATATTAACATATGCATATACATAAATACAAAAATAAACATGAAAATATATGCATAATTATAAAAAAAGCATTTTACGGTGAACGCAGTAGTCAGTAGGCTACACGTGACGCGCCATTCCTGCATCTGCGCCCGCCCTCACTTCATGTTTAACTTTCATGTTTCAACTATGCCCGGAAAAAATACATCAGCAGTCCGTCGCCGAGAAAAAAAAAAGTAAAAAAGCCCAAGATGAAGCCCGTTCATCCCTTTCAGGTACGTTCATAATTCTGTTAAACTTTTTTGGATGTTGATGATAATAAAGTTTATTAACATTAATTAATGTTTTAATTATCATATGATGTGCTCATTGACGACTTCGCCTCCAGAAAAAGCAGGAGTGTGTCTTTGTAAATTTTGAAATTTGGAATGCTCCAGCAGATGACGTATATTAGTGTTGATTTTTGGAGTGCAAATAAGTGCAAATAGCCCACCTTATTGGCAGAAGCAATTTACACTAACTCCGCCCACCTACATGTGATTG